ATATCAAACGTGCACAGGCCCCTAATGGCAGTTGGTATGGAAGCTGGGGAATTTGCTTCAGCTATGCCGCAATCTTCGCTTTGGAAAGTCTTGCAAGCATTGGCGAGGTCTACTCCAATAGCGAGTATTCCAAGAAGGGTTGTGAGTTCCTGCTCTCTCATCAGTTGCCGGACGGTGGCTGGTCAGAAAGCTACAGGGTATGTCATATTTTTTTTTCGAGCCACTTCTAACAATATGATGAACGAATCATAGCTTTTTAACCCTTAATGGTGCCACAAACACCTTGAAGACCAAAAAACAACTCTAATTTTTTCCTGACTGCTACAATTTTCCGCAATTTCGTTTCAAAGTCTGCTGTGGACAGGGCTGATATCATAAAAGGGATGTGAGACAGGGGTATGGCACGACCACCCTAGTGGATCTCAAGTCGTGATGACAGCATGGGTTTGCATCGCTCTGCTTGAGGCGCATTACCCAAACCGGGAACCCATCGAGAGAGGATTAAAGCTCATTATGAGCCGTCAACAGAAGAATGGGGAATGGCTACAAGAAGCTATCGAGGGTGTCTTTAACAAGAGCTGTATGATCAGCTACCCTAATTATAAGTTCGTCTTCCCGATCAAAGCATTGGGAATGTATGCAAGACGGTATGGAGATGTGGAGTTGTTGCAGACAGAGAAGGTGAATGGGAATGGGAAGCATGCCCCACTACACGGGACATGATGTGCTACTGAGGCCGTTCACAATCTAGGTTTAATACTCACCATGGACAATTACGAGGCACATGATACGATACATGTAATGATAATCACATAATTTGTCAAACTAGGCTAGCACTTACAGCGAATGCTATTAGTTCAGGGGCACCCCTGACTTCTGCAGCGTGGTCAACTGCTTCATTTGCTGCTCCTTCGATAGTTAAATTGAGCATGCAGATTAGCTAATTGTTTTATTTTGCAGCTTTCGCTTTGAGCCCATTTTAGCACTTGTCCACTTCGCATAGTGATGCACACCTGTTGTGTAGGATAGCTTTGTCCTGCTACCTTAGTTATTCGGGGCTGCAAATATATCAGATAGCTACCTTAGACAATGAAGAGGGACCAGCAAACCTATCCAGTTTCCTGGACGTTAGTTTAGTGCCTCATCTTCCAACTCTTTTCGAGTACCGGCAAGGATTGTCATAGAACTTTCCTCAAAAGAAACCATTTTCTACGTTCCCTCTCTATTCACCTCCCGAGGAGCATTCGATATTCGAAGAACACAATACATCTAATCTAGCCTTTATATCATGACTCAACATTGTCAGGTTATCCAATAGGTATTCGACAACAGCAGATACTTCATCGCCTCTATATCGTTATCAGTATTCACAGAAATTACGTCCTCTTCAAATATATGAACCAAGATGCCAGATATTTACAATGGTCGTCTGCGCTCCTTAAAGAAAGGTACTTTTCTCATGTGAAACCTTGCCTAGAACGCTGATGCAGCAGCAGCGGAAGTAGCAAAGGAAAAACTTAAAAGAAACAACGTAAGCGCAAAGAACCATGCTTTCCGCCTCCTTTCTCTTCTCCCAAACCTCTTCGATGCGGAGCTCCAGAAGCGGAGGACGACATATCACAGCAGGCGCAGTTGGCAGATATATTGCCGGGCCATAAGTATTTCCACCGCTGCCGTCCCTCATGGCTTCATTAACATGTCCCATGGAACCCATCAGTCGCTGAGTTTATCCACCAGATGTTGGGGGATAGAGGCTGGGCAGTTCAGCACTCAGCCTTTCAAGAGTTTCCCGGATTTTCACTTGAAAATTTTAAGGAGGGACCTCAGAGCGGGCCCCCGCCTTTGTCTGAGGCTGAGAAAGTGGTTTCGCTATGGGGATCTCACGGTGAAGGATCTGGGAGATCTGAGCCTCCGGGTTTCGTGCGGATGTGAAGGTGATGGTAAGGGGTTCTAGAAAACAAAGGAAGGGAAGGGGATGTTTAGGAATGGCTCATGAGCCAGGCGCTCAGGAAAGTATGGAAATGGCGACTCAAGAGAAGCATAGACAGGCGACAGAACGGAAATCTAAGCTAAGCATGAGCGGATTGGTGCTTGCAGCGTGGAGTGTGAGAAGTGAGAGAAGTGAGGGATGGGGAACGTTGGGGAGTCCACCGAAGGAGAAGCTTTTCCCTCTATCCATGGCTGATAGATCGATGAAAAATGCCTGGCCGGCAATCGCTGAAGCTCCGAGGATGCTTGGAACTGGGTTAGCATGAGATATCGTTGGGGGTTGTGTTTCCACGAGTACACTGGCTAAAGAAAAGGAAGGAAGGGAAAGAAGCTTAGTATATAATCTGGAAGGAACGGAGAAATCGCTGTATTTTTTCAAACATTGTACTAGACAGCCTAAGCAGTTTCGAGTCTTCTAGATATCCTTCCTTTCAGTATCTGAATGCTGTTTGTTCGAGTATCTCATGTAATATCCAACACGATCCTTCAGATTACTGATAAACATAAATTTGATGTCCACTATTTTTGTTTCAGTATCTGAATTACTCAGACGTATCCTCTTTTAACTGTCTTGGAATTGGTATTGAAGCGTATCACCATGGGGCCTGAAATATTCATAAAGTTCCAAGAAAGGCATTACTCTGACTACACTACTATATATAGGGTTCACATTCATAGAAGAGCGCCGATGACTGCAATTATTTTCTAGCGGGCTTTTATATAATCCCCATTTGATTGACGATGATAGGCTGTTTTACAGGTCTACAGATTATATGAGAGAAAGTATTTTTCCTACAGAAACTCTCCCCATTTCACTACCCAAGGATAGGATTCGGGATAAGTAGCCCAGCAGGCCTAATCATAACATCTCGTGTAGTCACAGGTAAATATTCTATTTGATTTGAGCGCCATGCCTCATAGAACCTTAATGGCGTTTGGTAGTTATTGTGAATATCACAAATGGCATGGCATCATAAATAGCTGACCGAGGCATTAATCTGCGATTTAATGTGAAGGAATAATATATTGTAGAGGTTCAATGTTGAGTTTGGCGGGGGTGGTGCGGTTGATACACCCGCTCCCCGCTCAGAGTGGATCCAGCGGGCTGCACAAGGCTGAGGGGCTTCTCGAACATTCACATCAGGCTAGGCTACCAACTTAACTGTTTGACTTAGCATGTCACTGGTCTGCCAACAGCTCACACCATAAAATCAGGACGTTGTTGTGCGATTAACACCCTGGCAATTCTGCAATACTTTCATACCTCCGCTACACAGACAAACCTTAGCATGGCTACACAAGCAGATCTAGGCAAGAAAGCTATCCTAGCAAAGGATTATAACACTGCAATCGAGCAATTCACGGCTGCCATCAGAACCAACCTTTCTAATCCAAACCCACAATGGCTACTCGAACGCGGTACATCTTACCAACGTCTTGGAAAGCACGAGCTTGCCCTCGCCGATGCAGAGAGTGCCTACCATGCTGGACAGCATAGAGGAAAGCGAGATGCCATGGCTACTGCTCAGCTCCGCAGAGCACTGGCTTTGCACGGATTGAAGCGCTTTGGTGATGCCCGATTGTGCTTAAATTGGGCACTGAAGCTAAACGAAAAGGAGAAAGGGGTTACGATCTGGATGTCAAAGGTGAAGGCTGACTACGAGGCGGCGGAGAAGAGTGACCCCGAGGGACCAGCTGTGAAGACTTCAGTCAAGGAAGTTCCTGAGAAGGTTGCGGTTAAGGTGGATGAGAGTTCGAGCGGCAGCAGTGGCGTGAATAAGGAGAATGTCAAGCCAGCCCCAGTATTATCTGTACCACAAACGCAAACAACACAGAAGGAGAAGATTCGAACCGAATTTTTCCAGACCCAAACAAATGTCACAATCACGATCTTTGCAAAGAACGTCCCAAAGGATACAGCAGAAGTTATAATTAAAGAAGGCAGTCTCGAAGTCCGTTTCCCAACATCAGCAGCCGATACCTATGACTACACGATTGACCCTCTCTTCCAAAGAATTGTGCCGGCTACTAGTTCATTCCGAGTAACCCCACACAAGATCGAGATCAATCTTACCAAAGCACAAGCTGGCGTAAAATGGGCGGGTCCAGAAGGCACTGAGGCAATCACGGATACAGCAGATGAGGCTGCAAATTCTCGCCCTACCACCGAAAGCGCTCCTGTACAAGACAAGCCACCTGCATATCCAACCTCAAGCAAGAGCGGACCAAAGAACTGGGAGAGTATGGCGAACGAGGTAGACGATAAAGAGCAGCCAGATGATCCTGACAATTGGTTCAAGCAGCTGTATGCTGGTGCTGACCCAGATACAAAGCGGGCGATGATTAAGAGCTACCAAGAGAGTAATGGCACGGCATTGAGTACCGATTGGAGTAGCGTCAGCAAACAAACCGTGAAGACAGAGCCACCAGAGGGACTGATCGCAAAAAAATGGGACGAGTAAATTGGCAGCAGACAGAATAATTTGGGCTGGAGTATAAGGGCTGAATTTAGCGATGAGCTTGCTTGGTGCTTTTAGCGTGCCGTATGCAAACGTACTCGGAGTATGTGTTGAGCTGAGGAAGCATTGATACCACATAAGCTATACACAAGAACTTTTCCAGATGTTTTCCCAGCTTTCGGAGTGCCGCAACGTGAAACTAGATTTCTACACATTTCTATTTCCTTAATCCCGCTGTTGTTTGCCGATATTATGTGAAATCTTGAGCCTTGCCTTTCAGTACGTGGTAGAAACAAGCTATTGACTCTTGCTGATTTTATACACCAGGAACTTTAGCACTATGGCAATTAAGCATATCTCGCGTTGAACTAACTCATAAGGACAACCAAATCCAGCCAAAATGCATCAGTTCCCTTTTCCTTCCCTCTTTCCTATCCTCCTAACGAAATGTCGCAGAACTATTGGCAAAATTTCCAGGCCAAAGAAAGAAAGAAAAGAAAAAGACATCCCAAATACAAGTAGAAAGAAACGCAAAAAAAAAAAAAAAAGAAACTCTTCGACTCAGACTTGAACTGAGAATCTCCTGGTAATAGGGAAAGCCATAACAGCCAGGCGCGGTGACCATTTCGCCATCGAAGATATATTTACTTTGATTATTGAAAAATTATTTGTTAAAATGGATATGTATAGGGTATTATTGTGTGTGTTCTTCCAGATCAAGGGCCCTTCAAACCGTTGGCGAAGGGGCATGTACTTGTTGTGTACATGTGTGCATGACCCGGGGGAAATGATTAAATGATGCATAAAAAGTGACTTAAAAGGGGATAAAAAGTGAAGGTTTGTTTATAGTGGGCTCAGCATTGCATAGCTTGGGTGCAAAGTTGTCATGACTTACATTGGAGTTTCTAGCAGCGCAGCTTTGTTCTTGAGAAAGACATTTCAGTCAGCTTTATCCCACGGGTAATACAGTAGAATTCGAAACCGGCTTCACAGGTTTGCAAGCTCAGTTGTTCAGCCATAGCCCTACTTTTCTTACCATACTATCGCTAATATAGTCAGCTAGTTTTATACCCTCGTACACAAAGCTCAGGCGTGATGGGTAGGTCAAATGCTTTGATAGGGACAAAGGAAAGACGCTAAGCCAGGAACTCGACCCTTTGCCCGCCGTTACAACTACAATACTGATGATTCAGCACTCCCCTGCCGTACTATAGCTATTGCACAAAACTCACTTCGTATAATCTTAGTACAGATGTTTATCATAATTAAATCTTCTACGCCTGGCTAATCAGACTGATCTATTCAGACTGATCTATCCACCAGTGGCTGACAGAAGGTGGCAGCTGGCCACAGAAATTGAACTTCTTTCGAATCATAATACAGTAACAAAGATCACAGCAAAAGGAAAACTAGAAAGTGGTGGAAGATTCTCGACTGTACTGTAACAAGTATGAAATATGTTAGTTTGGTATTGATCTAGTGAAGAATAAGAGATGTGGTAATCAGAACATCTTAAACGCAGCCACCTGTCACAAATAGCACTCAGCCCAATAAGAATGACTGTAAGTATGCGTATTGTACTAGAATACTGGGTGAAGAGTCAGGAGGTTGGTGTCGCGGAAGAGCCTTAGGGGCTCAATCTGATTAAAAATCACGTTTCATGGCCTAGTCACATAACTTATATGTCAGAATCGTGACATCGCCAATTCTGTACTCATTGGTGACGCATTTTAGCCATAGTCCTTCAGACTGTCATTATAATGTCCTCTTGCCGGGCCAGCCTTCCAATCAGTTAAAGCTGTGCAAGATGATAAGGTATCTGGATGATTAAGCCCCAAGACACGTTTCCGTGATTGAACGCATTCCTCCATAAGTATCACAGCTTCGACCTCTTTGCCAGTTCCTTTCCATGTAAATGCAAGGTTGTGCATGCTAGACAGCGTGTGTGGATGGTCCACCCCAAGCTTCTTTTTGCGAGCTTCCATCACTTGAACCTCTAGCTCTTCGGCCGCATCCCATCGACCTTGATTCCAAAACGTTAATGCTAAATTAAATACGCTAGTAAGCGTATTCGGATGGTCCATCCCAAGCTTCTTTATGCGAGCTTCCATCACTTGCACCTCCAGCTCTTCGGCCGCATCCCATCGGCCTTGACTCCAAAACGTTGATGCTAGGTTCCCCATGCTAGTTAGCGTGTCTGGATGGCCCACCCCAAGTTTTTTTATGCGAGCTTCCATCGCTTGCACCTCCAGCTCTTCAGCCGCATCCCATCGACCTTGATTCCAAAACGTTGATGCTAGGTTCCCCATGATGGACAGCGTGTCTGGATGGTCCACCCCAAGCTTCTTTTTGCGAGCTTCCATCACTTGCACCTCCAACTCTTCGGCCGCATCCCATCGGCCTTGATTCCAAAACGTTAATGCTAAATTAAACATGCTCGTTAGCGTGTCTAAATGGTCCATCCCAAGCTTCATTTTGCGAGCTTCCATCACTTGCACCTCCAGCTCTTCAGCCGCATCCCATCGGCCTTGATTCCTGTACGTCGATGCTAGGTTGGCCATGCTGATTAGCGTGTCTGGGTGGTCCACCCCAAGCTTCTTTTTGTGAGTCTCTATCACTTGCACAAAAAGCTTTTCGGCATCGTCCCATCGGGCCCTTAGCCTATACGCCAAACCTACCATTGCCATACTATCCAGCGTATCGTTGTGCTCTCGACCGAGAATCCTCTTTCTAACTTTCATTGCCTCAACCGACATGTTCTCCGCTTCTACCCCAAACCCTATTCTCCATGCGTACCATGCTGTGTTGTACATTATTGAAGCCCAGTCCCTTAATGAGTCTTGTTCCTCTGGCTTTTGTGCTGCTGCTGATTGTACGTGTGGGAAAAGCGCTTGGCACGTTGCCCAATCCTCGTACTCTCCGGCCGGAAGCTCTGCATAAAGTTTCCTGATAAAATGCTGTTTCCACTTCTCTCGCTGCCCGTAAGCTTCAAGCCATTTTCGCGTGGCTAGCTGCACTAGTCCGTGCATTTCGAAAGTTTCATCCTTCGCATTGATAGAGATGAATGAGTAATTTCGTAAAGTTAGGGCATCTTCTTCAAACTCGTCACTCATGCTAGACTGTGATGTGTTATCTTCATCGCCGCTACTATTATTAGCATCGCTATTAACATGATTGTCATCGTTGCTCGCTTTCTGGTCTCGCCGTGAGTTTTTCTGCCCGCTTTCTCGTCGAAGTAGTGCCTCGGGAATTCCTTGCCGGTCAAAAAAACTCATAAGAGACAGCAGATCAGCAGCTGATGGTCTGATCTTACGGATATGGTCAAACGAAATTTGCCATGTAAGAATGATAGAGTTCTTCGCCTCCTGATCTCGACGGAGCTGTCCGCCTTCGTAGTTAAGAAGACTCGTTCTCTTGCGATCGCTCTTGCGAAAGTCATGAAGGTACTGTCGCACGGAATACCGCGGCGCTCTCTGGGTGATGTTTGCGGCTGCCTGAACGATTGCTAAAGGCATGAACTCTAGCGCAGCGATGAGCTCGGCCGCATCATCGCCGTTTTCATACCCTTCTAGCTTGTTTTTCAAAAGCGACAGCGCGTCTGCTCTACTCATTGGTTCAATTGCAATAATGTTTTTCTGCTCAACCAACTTCAGCGCTGTAATTTTACTCCGTGTTGTTATCAGAATCGATCCGTTCGGGCACTGTGGAAGGTATGACAGGAGCGGTTTTAAGTACCCGATATCTATGCTGTTTATTTGCTCAGCCTGATTTGTATTTCGAGCCTCGACAAGGAAGCCAGCATCATCTACATTGTCAAGTATAAGAACCCACTCCCCCTTCCTATCATCGCGCAGCCAGTCATGCACAAGCTGGAATATATCGGCCGTTGGATTCTGCCACCCAGGGATATTGACGTAGTTTGCGATATCTCGAAAGCCCTGCTTAAACCGGGCGGCGTTACTTGCATGGACCCAGAAAACCCACGTTTTCGGTGATCGTTCTCGGGTTCGGTACGCGTACTCGATGGCGAGTTGCGACTTGCTTTGCAACTGTTAGCCATCTGTATTTTGCGAAGCCTTTGTGATTACCCGACACCGCCTAGGCCCACGAGCGCGGTCCGTGACCCTGAGACAGCACATCTCTGGTGTATATTATCAAGTACTTCTCCTCGCTCCACAAAGTCTGTGTCGCGACTAAAGGGTATGATAATCGTCGGGTTCGGTGGAGTTTCTAGTCGCTCTGGGGTTCGGCTGTTGTTAGCGCCGGGAAGCTTGGATCCTTCGCAACTTACCAGGAGCATAGTGATGTATCTCAGTATTGACTGGACCGTTGATGATCCCGGCCTGGAGGCCTGTGTTGCGGTTGCCAAAAGATATCGCGGATGCCATCGTAGTGGTGCTGCGACGAAGTGCCAACGGCAGTTGAGTTTGGCGGTCTTGTTCGCCATCCTTCAGCCACAACCATGGTCACCTCCAACCAGTACCTAGATTAAATGGCGTCTACAAAGTTTTAGCACAAGATTTTATCTTTGTTTACTCATAGCCTAGCTTCTTTTATCAATAACAAAAATGACGGATCCTCTTAGTATTACCGCTAGTGTTGTTAGTATTACAGTGCCGGCCTTGCATGGGACACGGCTGCTTCTAGAAGACCTGGAGCAGCTCAAAAATGCACACAAAACCGTGAAGCGCCTAGTAGAAGATGTGCACTCTGTCGCTACAGCACTTAAACTGGTCCAGAGTGTGGAGGATAGAGAATGGAAGTTACTCGGCGCAGATGTTGCTAACCAGTCAAAGACGATGATTAGCAGCTGCACACGAGCATGCGATCTTTTTAGAGCTGACCTCCAACAATGGACTAGACACTCAGAGGATGGAAAATTAGCATGGCAGGATCGAGCAAATGTGGGATTCTTCAAGCAGGGGCAAATCAAGGCTATGTCAGAACAGCTTTCAAACTGCAAGCTCAGTATTAATTTCGTCGTCAGCATAGCGACCTTGTAAGTTACTCTAGTTTGATCGCTCGGTACGGAAGATGAGCCAACCTTGCCTTATAGATACAGCTCCGTTCGCCATAGCCATATTACAGAAGATGTTAAGAAGACGATATCTATAAATCAGAATGAGATTAACAGCGCCATTACCGCAGCTGATAAGAAGCTCGTTGTATTAGAAAACAAGCTGGAAGAGTTGAACCTTAGCAGCGATGTTGATGAAGCGGCTGGATCCGAGGTTGGCAAAACTGAGGCATTGCGGCAGACCGAAGAAGAACTTAAGGTGGTGAAGGCGTCACAAAAGTTGCTGGATAAGTTGCTGTCCAAGTCGCAGGAAGAAGCAGTTGTGAAAGCCGCAGTAAGCCAAAACCCTTCAATCACAGTGACGTTTGGCGATCAGAATTCGGGCTTTCAAGCTGGGACCGTTAATGGTGGAGTCAGTGGAATTAATTTTGGAGGGAAACTGAGCAAATGATATATCATAGTAGTGTATCTGCATTTTTAGGGCCGATTCATAATGCATCGCTTGACCTTCTGGCTAAGACCAAAGATTCTGGCACACAGACCTCAGTAAATGCCAGCTGTCCTTTGCTTCTGACGAAGATGATTGTAGCTTACTCCCTAAAATGGCGCCAAATCATGCAGT